AAATGCAAATGTAGATTAGTGTGATAGCTGCAGTTCTGCAGCGGTTAGTGAGCTTCAGATGATGGACGTCATTGTTGATGGCCCCTGCTGAAGATGTTGGACTCACCAACTCTTCTACAGAAGCATCATCACCTGTTTGGGGGAAAACCTTCCAAAACATCCGCTTTAGCAGTGACACACAGAGTCGTCTGGGATGTGCTTTGATTCAACTCTGCCTCATTACTTCTTTGTTTCTTGCCATTTGTAGGACTGCAGGGTGGTCGGATGTTTTTTAACGCAGTAAAGGAGGGCGACCTGGTGACCTTCGCCTGTGATGACGAACAGGACCGAGTGCTGTGGGTGCAAGCTATATACAGAGCCACCGGCCAGTCGTATAAACCAACCCCCCCGCTACTCAACAAAACTTCAAACTGCAGAGAAGGAACCATGAAACCACAATCCATCAGTAGGTGTCAGTATTTATTTTTTGACGAGTCTGAAAATATGTCGTCATATTAGAGTTAAACCAGAATTATTCTCTGATGTTCTGATTTATCTAATAGAGGAAAATGCAAACCAAGAATGGCCTTTGAGTTGTGTTGACGAGCCAAGCTAGGATGAATTTCTACCGTAGTCGCTATAGCAGGACAGAGTGAAATAAAAAAAATAATCACAGATTTTACTTTTATAGAAGCAAAAAACAATGAGATAAAGTTAACAGTAAAAAACAGCAGATAACTGATACCTGGAGAAAAGAGAGAATGATGAAAAAGGGGTCCCTATGTCCTCCAGCAGTCTAAGCATATAGCAGCATAACTATGCACGTCCCTCTCAAAATATTAGCATATTGTGATAAAGTTCATTATTTTCAATAATGTATTGATAAAACTTGAAAATTCATATATTTTAGTTTCATTGCACATTAACTGAAATATTTCAGCTCTTTTGTCCTAATACAGATGATTTTGGCATAAATCTCACAAAATTAGCATATTTCATCCGACCAATAAAAGAAAAGTGCTCAAAATATAAAAAAAGTCAACCTTCAAATAATTCTGTACAGTTATGCACTCAATAATTGGTCAGGAATCCTTTAGCAGAAATGACTGCTTCCATGCGGCGTGGCATGGAGGCAATCAGCCTGTGGCACTGCTGAGGTGTTATGGAAGCCCAGGATGCTTCCATAGCGTTTAGCCTTTAGCTCATCCACAGTGTTTGGTCTTGCGTCTCTCAACTTTCTCTTCACAATATTCCACAGATTCTCTATGGGGTTCAGGCCAATTGATCACAGTGATACCATGGTCAGTAAACCAGTGGTTTGGGCTCTGTGAGCAGCTGCCAGGTCGTTCTTAAAAATGAAATCTTCATCTCCATAAAGCTTTTCAGCAGATGGAAGCATGAAGTGCTCTAAAATCTCCTGATAGCTGCATTGACCTGCCCTTGATAAAACACAGTGGACCAACACCAGCAGCTGACATGGCGCCCCAGACCATCACTGATCTGTCGGTACTTGACACTGAACTTCTGGCATTTTGGCATTTCCTTCTCCCCGGTCTTCCTCCAGACTCTGGCACCTTCTTCTCTGTAGCCCATGTCAGGCGCCTCTGCCGCTGTTTCTGGTTCAAAAGTGGCCTGACCTGGGGAATGCGGCACCTGTAGCCCATTTCCTGCACACACCTGTGCACGGTGGCTCTGGATGTTTCTACTCCAGACTCAGTCCACTGCTTCAGCAGGTCCCCCAAGGTCTGGAATCGGCCCTTCTCCACAATCTTCCTCAGGGTCCGCTCACCTCTTCTGGTTGTGCAGCGTTTTCTGCCACACTTTTTCCTTCCCACTGAGGTGCCTTGATGCAGCACTCTGGGAACAGCCTATTGGTTCAGAAATATCTTTCTGTGCCATACCCTCTTGCTTGAGGGTATCAATGATGGCCTTCTGAACAGCAGTCAGGTCGGCAGTCTGATTGGATTAGGGTTGATTGGGGTTTTGAGTGATGAACCAGGCTGGGAGTTTTAAAGGCCTCAGGAATCTTTTGTAGGTGTTTAGAGTGAATTTGTTGATTCAGATGATTAGTTGCATAGTTCGTTTAGAGACCTTTTTCATGATATGCTAATTTTGTGAAATAGGAATTTCAAGTTTTTTATGAGCTTTATGCCAAACTCTTTTGTATTAAGACAATAAAAGACCTGAAATATTTCAGTTAGTGTGCAATGGATCTAAAATATATGAATGTTCAAGTTTTATCATTACGTTATGGAAAAGAATGAACTTTATCATAATATGCTAACATTTTGAGAAGGACCTGTAGAGATCTTAGCCACGATTTCTTACTCCAAGGTTCCAAACTTCTTTGTCTTCATACTTCTAACTGTATTTCTGTTTTACTTGGTAAAGTCTTATTTTTCCGGCCTGTATCCGTTTTTATCCAGTTTGTCGGGTTTTTTTAACCATTGATTGACTTCCTGGTCGCATAATTCCCCATTTCCATTTCTTGTTTCCAATCCTTCCATCTTTCATACTGCTTCTGCTGTGTATATAAATAATAACCTAATCTGTGTCAGAAACCGTGAAGCTTCTCCTCCATATTTCCAATAGCTCCAATTAACTTCCTTTTTGTTTCTTTTTCCAGTATGAACCATCATTTCCTGCGTGTTTATTTGTCCCCGCTCTCTTTCACACACATGCACATTATTTGCAAATAATTTCATTTATTCCATGTTTGCAGTAGACTCTGTCTGAATTCTTGCCTCCTGCCAAGCTGGGCCTGGCTGCAGGGGAGCTTCACGCTGAGAGCTGATTATTGCTGTATATGTGTAATTTGCTGTAATAGCTTTCCATTCTCACCATCTCTCATTAGTGCCTAATAGAAGAGATTGAAGTGTCAGTGGTGAGAAGTGCTGACATGCTGTTTGGAGCAGGAAATAGGTGGTGTCTCTGAAATAACTCCTAACTGGGTGCTAGGTGCTCTTCTTTAGATCAGTGCTTACTGGGTTTGACAGAAAGTCGTTGACTGGATTAATTGTTGTTTCTGTGAAACCCTCTGCTCCTCTCCAAGCCCTCTTCATCAAAAGAAAATATCGCTGTTAAATGGCACTAAGTGGTTGTGCCACACAGATGTTTATGAAAAGAGCTTTTTTTTTTAGATTCAGATCAAATCTGTCTGCTGCATGGTCCGTCTGTCTTTGATTTTTCTATTGTTAAAGACTGAATTCAGATCAAAATCAAATATTAATAATGTTGGAGAGGAAAAACAGTTACATTAAAACAGAAACTTGTAAAGGAGGCTGCAGGAGGAGTAGGTCATGGAAACTAGGAGGACATCATAGAATTTATGAGGCAGAATAACAGGAGAATTCAGCAGTGAGCAGCTGTGGCAGCGAGAAAACAGGGAAGCTGATGGAGGAGGGCTAATAAACAGATAGTGAAGGTAGTTTGGAAAACACTGATGAAGACGGTGATCGCTGCATAGCCTGTAATCTAGATCTAAGTGGGAGACAGACTCATTAGACATCTATTTGATTCTATTCTATTTGAGTCTATAGTATTAGATTATATTCTATTCAATTCTTTTATCACAGTCTATTGTTTTCTATTATATTTGCTTCTATTTGATCCTGTTCTATTATATTTTATTGTATTTGATTCTATTCTGTTTGATTCTATTCTATTCAATTCTTTTTTATTCACAGTATTGTTTTCTATTATATTTGCTTCTATTTGATCCTGTTCTATTATATTTTATTTTATTTGGTTCTGTTCTATTTGATTCTATTATATTTTATTCTATTCTATTTGATTCTGTTCTATTCTATTACATTCTTATCTATTCAGATCTATTCTATTTTATTACAATCTATTCTTTTGTATTGTATTTAATTCTATTCTTTTCTCTTCTATTTGATTCTATTATATTTTTTCTATTATATTTGATTCTATTCTATTAGATTCTATTCTATTCAATTCTCTTTTTATCAGTCTATTGTTTTCTATTATATCTGCTTCTTTTTGATTCTGTTCTATTATATTTTATTTTATTCTAATGACTTCATTCTATTTGATTCTGTTCTATTATATTTTATTTTATTTGGTTCTGTTCTATTTGATTCTGTTCTATTAGATTCTATTCTATTCTATTTTTTTTATCAACTTATTGTTTTTTATTATATTTGCTTCTATTTGATCCGGTTCTATTATATTTGATTGTATTTTACTCTGTTCTATTTGCTTCTATTTTATTTTATTTTATTCTATTCTATTTGATTCTTTTCTATTTGATTCTATTCTATTAGACTCTTTTAATTTTCAATTCATTTTTTATCACAGTATTGTTTTCTATTATATTTGCTTCTATTTGACTCTGTTGTATTATATTTTATTTTATTCTAATGACTTTATTCTTTTTGATTCTGTTCTATTCTATTACATTGTTGTCTATTCAAATCTACTCTATTTTATTACAATCTATTATTTTATATTATATTTAATTCTATTCTATTCTATTTGATTCTATTCTATCCCAGTCCAGCTCATGAGGTCAGTCCTGGGAATTAAAGGCAGTTGTGGTCATTTTGGCTCGATGATGATGCTGAGTTTGCTTCATCATCCTTTCTGCCTGCAGCCATCAGCACCTCAGTTCCTGCAGCATGGAATTCCTCTTTGAGATAAATAAAGTGTTTTTGGATGGAACTGAATAAATCCTCTCTGGAATTATGCGCTGCATATTTAGAAAGTTCTACCAGCTGGAATACTTTAGCGTTATCAATGTGACGTAGCTTCAACGACATCCTGTTAATAAACAGAAGCAAATCTTTACAGACATGTCTGAGCTGCACATTTATACCACCATAACAAATATATTCATTTCTTAAAGGGAAAAAGTTTCCAGATGAAGGAAGTCTGCAGCTTGGAGTCCTTCGTGTCTTTGAGGGTTTTATTGTTCAGTATTAGTGGAGGAAAAGCAGGTGGCCCAGAGGCAAACAGAAAGCTGTCCATTCCTCTCAGCCTCCCTGACTCTGGGCCAGCGAGGACACGCTGACGCGGCCTTTTCAAACTTTCCTGTCGCTCTGTCTGCGCTGCTGAAGAGAATCCGTGCTCAGCCAGAATGACGCTGATGGACCTGTCGGCCTGGATCTGCGTCTCGGCGTGCCCTTACTCCACCGGATCTGTTTCGGTCCGACGGGCAGATCATGTCACATCTTTCAGCATTTTGCACCTGCTTCTGAAACGCTGCCTCTCCTCCTCTTCCTCCTGCTCTGCATCAATAACCTGCCATCAGAGGCTACTGCTACCTTTCAGAGGAGGATGTCACATAGATGTGACTGTTGCTGTGACGATGCCAATGAAGCCCAGACTCCATGGAAATGGAGAGATTGAGTGCAGAAACCCACCCCCACAATCGCACCTCTCCACACACGCACTGAAGGCCAAACGTCAGGATAGGAAACATGGAAAGGACTTATCTGAACCAGAACATCCCTGGTTCAGATAACGAAATGCCCATTAGGAGACCAGTGGAAACCATCCTGATAAACAGCAGGAGAAAAAGGAAATTTAATCTCATTATGCATCAAACTGTCTGTGCCCTTAGAAAGAAAACGCTCATGCTTGGGTTGGATCTGCTTCACAGTAACGGGTTGACCAATTCAATTCAGTTTATTCATATAGCGCCAATTCACATCATGTCATCTCAGGTCACTTTCCAGTTCACCAGATCATCCAGTCAGATTGATTCAAAGTTTTCTATCTAAGTAAAACCAGTTGATTGCATCGACTCATTGACTCTTCAGCAATCCCTCACACTAAGCATGCTTGTAGCGACAGTGGAGAGGAAAAACTCCCTTTGAACAGGAAGAAATCTCCAGCAGAACCAGGCTCAGTGTGAGCGGCCATCTGCTGAGGCCGACTGGGGTTCAAGGAGACAGAAGCAGAGATAGAAAAAGAAGAATAGATACAAAAAGCAACTGTAAACCAGCTCCACAGGCGGCCCCGTCCAGGAAACACACAGCCAACAAGCAATGCGTTAAATAAATGATGGAGACTTTGTCTGATGTGCAGCTTTTTCAAATGGATCAAATCAACCAAACATCCAGTGGTTTTCAGTTAAAGTAAGTGAAGTCATATCTCTGTAGGATATTCTCAGAAAGGTGGGATTTAAATAAAAAGACCTAAATTTAAGTGACATTAATTGTCAGTATTAGTAATGTTTTTAACAGTCAAGTCCGAAACTTCATGAGGTTAAACCCACCTCTCCTTCCCTCTGACATCCAGGTGGGCAGCCCTGACTTAGGACCGCCGCCGCCTTCACAACGGTTCCAGTTTGTTCCAGTCACTGAAAGTTGACCAAACTGCTGATATTTGGAGACAATCATTTTAAAGTTTGCATGACAGAAATGTTCATCAGCTAAGATCCAAATGTCTGGAGTGAGCAGCTTGCACAGGGCCCCAGGGTTTTAGCAGTGGGTGGATGTACCAGCTAGCATCACAGGCTCCATTTCACAACTGTGCATTCCAGCAATTTTTAAAAACTGCATTTTGGATGCAAGACGTGATCCGTCACACTTTCCACACTCGGTCCACCAGCATGAAACTTCTGGAACTTTATTTTTGCAGCTTTTCCAAATGCTTGGCAGACATTCCCATGATGCAGAGATTTAGTCAAAGCAAGAAGCTGACTACTGATGAGCCGTGGTTGCATCTCTATGTCTGAACGGAAGGAGCCGTAGAGCTGCTGCTATTTAATGGATTAGAAATGGTCGCCCTCTGACGGTGCAGTAAAACCAAACATGGTGGAAACTAGGAGAGCAAGCGGGAAAGTTGACCTGGAATCTGTTGTGTTTGGAAAACCCAGAGCAGGTTGGCCGTCGTACTGATCAACTGGGTCAGGACCAGTGAGATCCTTTCCAGCCATCGCTGCTGCAGAACCCCCCCCCCCTTCTTTCTTACAGTTGGATTTGACACAGATCATCAACACTCTTCTGCTGTTAGTCCATCAATCAATACTCCCCCTCCTCCCCCCCCCCCCCTCTTATTATCACTCTGATCTATATCTCTTTGTCTCGTTTTCTTTAGAGTCGCCTCCTTTAGCCCCAATCTTTTCTCCAAATTACATTAAGGACAATCCCAGGATTTGATGCTAAATGTAAAATGACCTACATCGGAATTAGATGAAGTGAAACTAGGCCACATCAGAGCAAACGTGAAGTCAGACGTCAGAAGAAAAGCAAACGACTCTTGATTGGAAGTTGATTGTAAAGATTTCACTTCTGCTGCCTTTTTTTTTCCCCTGTTGAACAAAAGCCAAAGAAATGCGGTTGTGGATGAGTGCATGGTGGGGGGGGGCGTCTCTGCATCCAAACAAAAACAAAATGGCAGTGTTAATAAAAAGCAATCACTAATGCTCTTCCCCGGCAGCGGGCCGCAGGCGTCGCAGGCGCAGGGACGGCGCTGGCTTTCTTCACTGACTCCTGGTCTTTTGTGGAGCCATGTGTCTGAGTCCCAAACTTCCCATCTCCAAATGTACTCCCACAATACGGGCGGGGAGGGAAGTGTTAGGCTTTTCATTTGCTGGGGCCATTAAGGCGAGGCTCTGAAAGGACTGGAAGTGAACCCAGGTTTGCTCAGGCTGGGTCAGCATGTGCCTGGCCTGCTTAAGTAAACCCTGCTCACCATCTGCACCTCCGCTCCAATAACGCCCGATCTGAGGAACGTCTCCATCGTCCGGAAACAACATGGGATTAAAAAACAAGCAAAAAATGTTTTCCTTACATCATTAAAGGATGGTTCCATTTTGCATTCTTCCTCTTACAATGTTTTCGAAGCTTATAAATTAAAAAAAGAAATTAACTGTTCCTGTTATGCATCCAGAACAGTCCTTCTTTCGTCGAAGATAACGTTATTTCGCTGATGCTCCTATTTTTCATGACTATAACGAGAACTGATAAGCTAAATGTGGATCTCTGATGATGAAAACTTGACAAGCCATGGGTGTGAATTTAGCAGGTCGTCGGTCAGACGTTTGAAATGCATCATTGTGTTGAAATCAGCTAAGCATTATCAGCCGTGCTGTTGCATCCTGTTTGGTCACGCCGCCCACCTGGCGTGCAGCGCTGCTCAGTGGCGGGCTGCAAATAACCAGAAATGATCCGGTACTGAGCGCTGAACTCCCACTAACTCTGATCTTCCAGCTGTGCTTGTGCAGAGATACGTCTTTACGCGGCTCAGCTCAGAGTTTGCGCTTTACGCTCCACTCTGATGGTTCGCTCTCACCATTATGGCTCTTCCTGCTCTCACTACTTAATAAACTATATGTGGCTGATCATCCTCTGCCAAGCGTAACAAATCCCTTTGTCTAACTATCAAGATTTTATTTCTTCGAGCTCACAAGAGGTGATGCTAAACCTTCTTTAATTTCTACCAAAAGGAATCCCTAAATTATATCCAAAGTAAATATTTCTTTGCTTTTGTTTATTTTTGATAAAGATCCAGATGAAAAGGTACATAGATCTTTGAATATTTCTCTCTCATTGTTCTCATTTCTATCTATTTAAATATGATGTAAACGATCCAGAAGAAGGCGAAACTTAACAGGTTCACAGATGATTGCCAGCTGATTGACAAAACCAGAAGACCTGCAGCTTCACAGACTGATTGCCTCAGTGCTGATAGAGATAGAGATTTCTGCATAGAATCCTTTACAGCCATGCATTGTTTTTATTTATTTAGTTTATTACATAAACTGCTTAAACAGAACGCAGTGGCTCAGGTTGAAATAGGCTAAAATATGATCATCATTCTGGAGCATAAACTTTGTTTACTGATCAGGGTTTTGGGGGTTTTCTTTCTTTCTAATTAAGTCATTCTATGTGTTAACTGCATATTCTAGGTCAAGCCTGATTCTTTACCCCTTCATATAAGCAAACACAGATGCATGCTTTCTGTTTAACATTTTTTATATTAGAGCCGTTTGGCTGGATGAAGTCAGATGTTTGCATCAGTCTTCTTGGCTTCAACATTAGTTCATCGATGCTCCAGTAAACAGCTTAATAAAACATAGATTCCTGGTTGAATGATGGAAAAAAGCCAGAGATCAGTCGGGCCATCGGGGTGAAGGAAGAGCCTTCAACCAAAGGTCGCTTTCAGGCGTCAATGTCTCATCAATAAAACTTTGTAAGAAGTGTTTGTTCCAGGTTCTACTCTTTACTGCTTTGTGCTTTCAGGTCTGGATCCATCTCAGCGTCAGGGTGTGGAGGATCTGATTTCTGCAGCGCCCATCAGCTTTGACCACGCTGCTCTGTTCAGCATCCTACAGAAACTAACTCTGCAACACCGCATGAATGACTCCTTCTCCTGCCTGGTAGGTCAGCAGCCACACAGCCTCATGACAAAGTATAGCAGTAAGACCTGCGTTTGGAATAATTGCATCATCTGGGGTGATGCAGAGTTGACGTTTGTTGAAATTATAAAATACATTTTCAATTCAGTTTGTTTCATCTCATCTCAAGTCACTTTACAGAGACGGTTCAGTCAGATTGGTTTGGAAAACCAGCTGATTGCACCAGTCAGTGACTGAAAGACCTGCTGCTTCTGGATGAGCCTGCAGAGACGACTTTCGCTTGCATTTTGCTTTTGATACTTCAGCAATCCCTCATCTGCTGGAAGAAACCTCCAGAACCAGGCTCAGTGTGAGCGACCATCTGCTGAGGCCGACTGGGGTTCAAGGAGACAGAAGCAGACATAGAAAAAGAAGCATAGATCCAAAAGGCAACTGTCAACCAGCTCCACAGGCGGCCCCGTCCAGGAAACACACAGCCAGGCAGACGAGCTCCGAGCCAGCTCCCATGTCAGAGGATGAAGAGAGCACATCCAGTTAGTCACGGTCAGAGAAACAGGACTACACTGAAAAACAGGCCAAGCTCCAACATCTAGAAACAAAGGATGTTGATGGCAGCAGCACAGCTGATATTTCTCTCCAGGATGGAGTCACAGCCAAACAGGAAAAGACCAGATGATGAAGCTACTATGAGAAACAGCAGAGAGAGCAGAATCAGTGGCTTGTTTCTCTGAAGGTGTCCAAAGCTCTTTTTTCCATTTCTTCCATGTAAAGATTGGCTACATTTGGTGACACTGGAGATCCCATGGGTCAACAATGCTCCTGTCTGTAAAAATGATCCCTGAATTTGAAGTAGGTTGTGGAAAGATAAAGGTCCAGTGCAGATCTGGTCCGGAGTAAAATTAGTCCTGTTGTTTAGGTCACTGTCTTGTTGAAACGTGTCCTGACTGTTTCCACTGCCTCTGATATAGGTATGCACATGAAAAGAGAAGCAACATCAAAACACACCAGGGTTTCTCCTGCCGCCATCTTTAAATCTTTGACTTTTTTTGCAGTGTTTGGAGTTTTCTGTGGTGTGGTGTGTTTCCCACCAGGGAAGCTCAGCTAAGCTGGGTAATAATGAGTCTCAGTGTTGTTCCCTCCAGAAAGCTTTCTCAATTCAAAATGTCTGGGTTAGTGTTGAGTTCCAGGCTTATAAGGTGGTCCAAACAAAGCCTGGTTCTGGCTTAGAAAACATGCAAATTGAAGATTGAGATGATAGCGGGAAGGAATCGACTTTTTCGCTGCGTTGTAGGTTTTAGAGAACTGGAACCTGAGTCCACCCCCTCTGTTTCTGGATGGGAAGCAAAACGTCTTCAGACTTGGAAAACAAAGTCTAGTGGTTTGCTTTTGAAATTTTTTTTGGAATGACTATGACCTGGATGACTGGGAATCTTAAGCCGGGCATACACTGTGCGATGTTTTTAATCGTTGCACGCAGCTAAAGCTCATGCTATAGGACGAAACCGCAAGTTTGAAAAGTTCACAGCTCACGATGTTTGTTCTCACACTGTGCGACCCGATGCCCTGATGCGATCTACCTGCTCACACTGTACGTCTAAAAACCAGCTGGGACTCAGCTCCGCAGTGAGATGGAGCTACTCGGACTCATCTATTCTAAAGCCAAACCAGTAGCAGAGGAATATGAAGCTGACTAGAGTGAAACGCCATGCCTTGGCTATTTGGGCAATTTTGTGCTGAAAGTCCTAAAAAGAAAAGGAGACGACCTTTTTGGACAAAGACATGGCTGAGCAAACGTGGCTACTACAGTCTGTCAATTTGACAGAAAGAACTCCATTTCACTCATTGCACCCCCACCATGCTGCTGGGTTTTCATCTGAGAAGAAGAATAATTCTTGTTTGCCCGTCGTTTGTCCATCCAATGATTTAAAACTTCAGGTCCGCTAATGAACCCATCTTCATCGCCCATCAAACTGCTCTTTGCCACATCTGGTGATTTGAATTCAGCAATGAGCTCCATCAGCCCCACAGGTCTGATCAAACTGAAAACTGGAACCAGTCTCCGGGTCGGGAACTTTCTGGCAAACAGGAACCTCCATGTCCTCCATCTGTGCTGCACAGAGCTGCCTTCTAATCCCAGTCTTCATCTTCTACAAGAATTCTTGAAGTTGAGGATCACGCTGCACTCAGGCCTGAGAATCAACGGCAAAGATTCTCAAGCAGCGACCAAATGAGCCATTGTGTCCCTGCAGCCTTTTTCCTTCATGCACATCCTGGGCTGAACATTTATACCAGAACCAGAGAGGTCTGTTCGTTTTTCAGTCCTTGCTTTATTTGGAAAATATGAAGCATTTGTGCTTCAGCACCAGAGACTGATGACGACTTCCCTCTAAGTGCTGAGCTTTGGTTCTGGTGAAGAATAAATGCCAGCAAGAGCTATTTTTCCTACAGTTCTGAGTGAAGGAACCGTTTTCTCTGGTCTTTGGAGTAGATTTAGGCTGCAGGACTTCCAGGAACTTTGGAAGTATGTTCTGGCCAGAGAGACGGATACTGCTGCTGGGCTAGTAGAGAGAAGGTCAAGTTTGTCTTGACGATTCCTCTGTCTGGATATACGGTAATAATCTTCATTCTGGACGTGGCAAAGATTTGAGAAGGGAATGAGAGTGGTGTCCTTCAGCTAAGAACAAAGTGGAATATTTTGATAAGCCTTGGAAGTTTCCTCATCTGCTAACCTGTTTGATGTAATGATGTGATGATGTGGAGGACTGGAGATGTATAAAATACCTTTTTAACTGTTAATCAGGGCCACTTCCTGAGAGGTGAGCAACTTCTCTGATCTGAGTAAGATTATAATTTCTATCAGAATCAGTTGTCATGTCTCCTGGTTATTTAATACATATAAGCTATGAAACACAGGGAGCCTATCTTTAACAATTGGTGCTTTCTGCATCAGCAGTTCTTTCTTTATGGTCAGATGTGCTTCTTTATGCCATATTTAGAGAATGAATTCATCATTAGCTGACATTAGGTTCAGAACCAGCCTGATTAAACATTAAACATCCTCAACAGCCGGGCTCAAGGCTGTCTTCACTGAAAAATGCAGCAAAACCATCTGATCCCATTGGCCTCAATGAATAAGAAAAATGAAAACCAGAAAACACAAATTCAGTTTAAGGAGGAAGCAGAGATGAATGTTGTTGCTTCATCACTTTTAGCCATATACTGTCTGATGGCTTCCTGTAGCTGAGGCGGCGCGAGGACGGCGTCCGTCGCACTGATGGGTGGAAGAACGCTGCGGCTAAATAAAGATCTCTGCTTGTTTTTTACTCAAACAGCAAATTGTTGATAAAAACCAGGTTTGTTACTGTGTGTAGCTGGATGAAGACATTAACAAAAGCTTCACAGTCACCTAAATGCTTGGATATTTTATATTCCATCACTTTAATCAAAATGATTCAAAATGATCCTGAATCTGTATTTCTGCAGGAGACTTAATGTCTGTAATTTAATCTACCTAAACGGTCTTTAAATACGGTGATTTTAGATTCATTTCTGTTTCATAGTCAAGCAGAAGGTGAAGGAGCTGAAACCCATCAGAGAAGATCCTGAAAGGACATCAAATCTTTCTGCCTCACTGCGTCTGTGCTGCTGTGTGAAACCCTGGGGGCTCTCTCACACTGATTGAAGAGATAAACGCTCTAATCAATACTTTCCAAATAGGAGCGTAGCCCAGTGGCGGGGTGGGGAGGGTGATTGGAGGGAGGGGGTAGAGTGGAGCTCTTTGTGCCGTGTGGAGCTAAGCAGAGCGACCCGACTCTCTGGATAAGATCCTCCATCTTCATCTCTGGGTCCTCCTGAAATCATCACTCGACAGATGAGCTTATAGAGGAGTTTGTTTTATTCAATGTGGAGCGACATGAGAGGAGAGGCAGCTCTCATCAACCAATGCATCACTCTCCTTCATTTGATTTATTTATATCTTCCTCCATTTTATTTAATGTGCCATAAAGAGCTCACATTCTGATGCTGAAAATACGGAACATGAAATGTGTGGATCAAGACTAAAGATTCGGCGTATAAAACCAAAAACCTATGGCTCCCCTAAAGGGACATGGAGGGGAAAAAATAAACTTTTGCGAGATCCCGCAAAAGTTTATTTTTTCCCTCCATGTCCCTTTAGGGGCTCCGTTGGATTGCATACTGACCTTGTCTGTTTTGGGACTTCTCTAGAAATGAAGAACCTCTCCAAATCATCCTCCATGGTTGTAGCTGACACATGGGCGTATTATCCTCCCATAGCAGTACACTTTGCACCTCCACTGTTGTTTGTTTGTTTTACTTCCGGTTCGCTGACATGGCAAAACTTTTTATGAGATCGCGCAAAAGTATTATGGGATCTCGCAAAGTTTATTTTTTCCTCCATGTCCCTTTAGGGGCTCCGTAAAAACCAGACATTAAAGGAAGCTGGAGACCAAAGTTTGTGGAGGAAGGGAGAATCCATTCAGACTCCAGATATCCACAATTCCTGCTCTTCCTGAGCCGCTTCTTTTCCCTCTGGGATCATCAGAATCCCAGTCACTGCTGTCGCTGCTGTATTTGGACTATAATGGAGCTATAATGAAGCTCTCTGAGCTGTTTATGGACGGGAAGGTTGCACAGACACATTGGTTCCCCTTCTAGGTGTTGCTTGGGGGAACTTTTAGAATCAATGCAAGCAGGAACTTTTTTCCAGTTTCCTCTCATTGTGTCCTGTTGTCGCTTCCCGGAAACACGATCCGTAACATGCCGTAACAGATATACATCCAGTTTCCATACATAATGTAATTATGGTACTAAAATGACTTGTTTCTATCCTTAACTCACTAAAGATGCTAACTAAAAATGTTTTATGACTTTTTGCAGAGGCATTTTGTATTTTTTTTTACATTTTCTCTGCTTCTCTGCATCATCATGGGACACGCTCAGAGCGGTCTGGCTAAATCTGATTAAACCATCTTTATCTGCATTTTAGTTGTTTCTTTCTTTAGATTATGCGCTATATATCATAATGTTAACACGAAAGGAAAACATTAAAACTAAAAAGGACGCGGACCCATCGTTGAAGTAGCGTAGCATCCTATTTCCTGTGCAGATCAGGAACAGAGTGATAAAACAGAAAGGATTTAAATGCATTTATTTTCTCAGGAAAAACATTATTAAACTTAAGTATGCTTACTTTTTTTTAGGTCTTTTTAACAAAATAAATTGGAGGCCACCCGGATGTATATCTGGATGTATATCCGTCCTGGAAGCACGATCCATCAATGAGCCGATGGCGCATGCGTTGGACGGATCATGTTTCCGGGACGGATCAGGTAGTGACACCCGTTCTTACCCGTCTGTGGCATTCAAACACCTCCTCCGTTCTGCAGTATTCAGATAGGCAACCAGTGGAGAAGCATTCGGTTACTTCTCTGTAAAAACAAACTTCTCCTATTTATATTTTCTGTTTTTACATTTTATCAACCTTCATCTTGCTGTATAATTGGTAAACAATGGAGTATTAAATGGGTAAATATTGTTGTCTGCATCCTTTCCCATCAGCCACTGTGTTGCTAAATCTGTGATGGTTGTGAAAACCCCTGATAATTAAAACGAAGAGTGTTTGTTACAGATGTGGTAAATATCTGTAAGGCTCCGGCAGGGAGAAGGTGTTGTTGAAAGCGGCGTCCCCCCGGAGCTGAGGGGTCACGCTGGGTTGTCCTGCATTTTAAGTCAAACGAGATGTTCAGCAGAGTGACATCTGGGCCTCTTTGGTTCTTCTACCTACCTCACCAGGACGCCTTCCAGCGCCGCAATTAGGCCGCTCCATTCACGCCATCCACCCAGCTCTTCACTGCTCAGCCTTTTGTCAACACCGCAGGGCTTTTTGTTCCAACTGCAGCCTCTTTTCACTCTGCGCTCTGAGAAAGGGCCCCGGCCCAGGCGTGGGAGACATCTGTTGAGAAGTGCCTTGGATTCATGTCACAGACCGGGTCAGGTTATATAGAAAACCAGTTGAACCCAACGACAACAACGGTAATTAGGCAGAAGTTTGGGATGTTGCTGGAGTACAGAGCGCACTGGTGTGGCCCCCATTAAAGAGAGAACGGATAAACATGGTGTGCGTGGGGGGGGGGCGTCAGAACCAGAACTGGGACCCAGACCAAACCTGGTATCATTTCTGGACATCTTTCCACCCTTACACACAGGTTCTGGGCTGGGCTGTGTGCAGAGAGCAAAAGATGAGGGTAATGGTACGGAGAGCTTTCAAATGAAAAAGACCTGGATCTTAAAATCAGGGAGGAGGAATCAAAGACATATTTCCCTTCAAGATGTCTCTCCTTTTCCGTCTAATTCCTATTAGAGAAGATGGTATTTGCTCTAAGGTTAAGAGGGGTATGAATAGTTCTGGTCCTGACTGAAGGCCCAGAACCGAGCCTGACACACAGGCCTGGTGTTTTCTAAAAACAGAGGAGAGGAATCAAACTCCGGTTTCAGTGTTTGGACCTTTGCTTAAGAAGTCTGATCATAAAGGAAATAAAGCAAAGGTGAGAAAATGAAGATGAGTCACTATGAGTCTAAAGACCAGTTTTATCCTCCTGTCTACGGCCTCAGCATCTGTCCCTGCCTCTGCTGCGGACACGCCTGTCCTCGCTCAGATAAAGAAACCTCCCATCTCGTCTTCTCATTAAAGACGCTGACATAATTAGACGGGTCTATGCATCCGCATGCTCCGTAAATGCGGAGCCCCTTTCAGTGATGCAGGTAAATTTCTGCTCATCAGAGGACTCTGCTGAAGATGAGGAGGATGGCTCCATGTCCACGCAGCGGCCGCCTCCTGTTGAACTGGACCAACCAGCTGTTCCTGCTCCTTCTTTTCCCTGTAGACATGTTTAAATCTCCTCAACTCTCCGTTCGTCCTTTTAACCAAAACGTCTCCCTGGTTCCATACAGGCTGGTTTCAGGTCCGACTGAAGACGCTGCTCTCATTTCTTTTCGCTCCTCAGAGCAGAAAAGCTCCTTCTGTTGCTTGTCTGGTTTCAGCAGAGAGGCGTGTATCTCTGTAGCTCCTCCAGAGTCACCATGGTTCCTCCATTCTCTCAGTCTGGGTGGACGGTGGTGTCTTGGTGGTCCATTTTCTCTCTATGTTCAGATAGAGAGAAGCGGCCGCGTTCAAAGCTTAGCTTGCCTCAAACTGAACCAGAACTTCCTCCTTTGGTTCTCTGATGTCACAGGAAAGCTGAGGCTAGATCAGATTAGATGATGATGGACTGTGGTGACCTCTGCAGCCGGTTTCACCCTCTCCGCTGTTCCTTTGGAAATCCCAGCAGAACTGGGGCTGTTCTGGGTTTCTGTACCCAGGCCAGCGGGTTCTGATGCCTCTTTGCTTTACTGACGCCCTGAGGACAGCCTGACCCACTGAAGACTTCGGTCTGATGAACCGCGGAGTCTCTGCGTGCTCTGTAGCTGTGGGTCATTAACCTTCAGCGTTGATCTGGTTTCCAGTCTTTTCTATCTCAGGGTGACGTCCTGCTCATGCACAGGGTCCCAGACATTACCAGGGACGAAACTGAAGCGGCTTGTTGGTCAGAAAGGATCCGAAAAAGGCCAGAAAAGACAATAAAAATGGACAAAGGATGTAGGAGAAGGAAGGTGTTTGTAGCTGCAGAGCCGCCACGTCCCTCAGAGGGGGGCGGCAGACGCTGTTGCTCTGACATGGAGACGCGCCGCCACGCCTGACGGAAACCTAGCGAGGCAGTCTGCTTGTTAGCTGCTAATTGAGCGGTCAGAGCCAAGACTGGAGTGCGCCATCTGTTTGTCACAGAGGAACATCTTGTCGCTTCACGCCCATCAGCAGCCCCTTCCTCTCTCTGATATTAATAGCTCAGACCCACAGACTGAGAGAGAAACTGCAGAACTTAAAGTAGGGGGGGGGGGAGTCAGCAAAGGGTCACAGAAAAGGAATCTGACACATTTAGTCAAAGCAGAAATACTAAGAATAACATTTCTAGTTTTCATGTCATCTTGATAACCTCCACTAAAGCAGTCATGTTGTCATGTCAGCATCGCCAAACGTTCCAAACACCTGGAAGCCAATTCAACCTGTTCCACGGACCAATCAGAGCTCAGCGGCGGCGGTCAGCTCACACCAACAGAACCCGGTCCTGCAGGAAGCTGGTGGAAACGTTCAGAAAGTGTCTCAGCGGCTCATAGAAAGGTTACACTGATAAAAGAGCAAAACGCCGTCCTGCGTCTCCTGACTGGAGCGATGCTCCGTCTGCTCACCTGCTTCAGATCTGTTACTGAGAGCAGATAGAAGTAGAACATCTTCCAGAGCCATTCTAGTTCCTCATGATCTAATATTTTATCCATTTTAGCGTCTCTGAATATTTGATCATCTGTCAGTCGTCAAGTTTCTGAGACAGGCTACTGTTCTGGAGGTGAAACAGTTTCTCTGCTGCTCATCTTTCCTCTCGGTCGGCCGACGCTTGGCGCCGAGCCACAGCTGCCAGGCGGGGGGGTGGGGGGTGTGAAGCAGCTCAGGCGAGGTGCTAATTTCTTAATGTTTCTTCAGTGCTGGATCTTAATTAGCGTGGTAAGCTTCATGCCTAATTTAGTGATTACTCACTGGATAAATGAACTAATGTAGATGTCTGGATCTTAGAGTCGTTCCGCACCTTCCTGCCTTTTCTTTCAGCTTATTTCTTAGTTTGGACAGAAAATGAATCGCTTTAACTTTTCACTCTCTGACACACATTATTGTGATATTTAGTTTTTCAGTTTATTATTAAAGTTTAGTGAGGCGTTTCAGTCCCACAGAGCGATGCTGTTCTAGTTCAGGATCTTTCAAAGGATAAAATGCAGATATCATCTGGTTGAATGATCAGAAACCTTTGAACCTGAAGGCCTGTGAATGTCAACCATCCTGTAATCAGAGTGTTTGCTCCTCAGGGTTGGTTCAGTCCCGGCCAGGTGTTTGTCCTGGATGAGTACTGCGCCCGGTACGGGGTCCGAGGCTGCCACCGCCACCTGAGCTACCTGAGGGACTTGATGGAGTACGCGGAGAACAGCGCGCTGGTCGACCCCATGCTGCTTCACTACAGCTACGCTTTCTGTGCCTCACATATCCATGGAAACAGGTACCCAAGCAACAGCATGACTTTAGCATGGTCCCCCCCCATCCCCCCCGACCAGACAGTAGCAGATACCTGTGCTTAAGGCAGCAGACATTCAAAATGTCAGAAATAGTGTTGAGTTCCAGACTTTATAGAGTGGAACAGCAAGGCCTTGTTTTGGTTTAGAAAATATGCAAGTAGAACGCGGGTCCACCCCTTCGGAATGGGTGGTCGTTTGGGTTCTTTGTTAGCCTTCAATGCCCCATACTGGTCCATGGTTGGTGAACTAACTGCTATTTCTGACATTTTGAATTGAAAAAGCTTCCTGGATGGGAAGAGAAACGTCTTCAAACTTGGAAACAAAGTCCAGAGGATTGTTTTTAAACTTTTTTGGAATGTGTAGTATATTGTTAGAATGATCTGGATCATCTGTGATCGATTGGTTTACCCTATAAGAAACGCATCACTCAGTGTGCAATATGTTTGGTCTGGTAGCCGGCGAGCGGCAGTAAAAGTCACATGCAAAGTGTCTCACCAGGTAAACAAGCCTCACTGTTTACTTCATAGTGTAAGAAGTACACTACATGATGTCAGAACATGAGACACGAGACTACAAAAGTTTTCATTAAATCCTCCGCTGTGGAAAGAAAAGTTCAGTTTTAACGTCTTCGTGTGACCGAACGTTAACGTTAGCTAGAGCTAGTCTACAATGGATCAGTTCAAGCCTCCAGCCCCGCTAGTGCTAACCGGCAACATCAGCGAGAATTGGCGCAGATGGGAGCAACGGTTTCAGCTGTACATGACGGCTACGGGAGCGGACACGAAAGCTGAACCGGTGAAGATGGCCGTTATGCTGCACACGGTCGGCAGAGATGGCAAAAGTACTCACTTTCCGTACCTGAGTAAAAGTACAGATACTTGTGTTAAAAAATACTCTG